TGTAACACATCTGAGTCTGATGAAGAAGATTTTGAATTTTTTAACCATTTACCCCATTTGGGCCCCATCCCTCCAGCCCCTGGGGATGGGGCAGGATCTGATTTTCTCATACCATCTAATTGCTATCCTGCATCATAATCATTCTAACCAAGTATGAATAATTTCTAGCTCAAAATTGACAAAATATGCTGAAAAGTGTTATTTCCCTATATAAACTATAGTCAACTTTACCCCCTCCCCAAGGGAGAACAGATAGCCCGGGGGTACTGAAATTTACAATTTACATAAAGGCCCTGATGATCTTTCTATCCATGCAGGGAAATTGACTTTAGTACCTTTGAGTTTCAAGAGGAAGATTTTTGAAATATTGGTTAATTTTCCCTTTGGGGCCCCGCCCTGGCCCCTGGGTTTGGGGCAGGAATCCCAATTTTACAATTTGATACCATCTTCCTCCAAGGATGATTTTCACCAGTTAAGAATAATTTCCTACTGAAAATTGACAAAATATACCCAAAAGTGGTATTTCCCTATATAAAATATAGTAAACTTTACCCCATCCCCAAGGGAGAACGGATAGCCCGGGGGTACTGAAATTTACAATTTAAATAACAGACGAAATGCGATCAGAAAAGGTCACTTGAGCATAGCTCAGGTGACCTAAAATAGGTTAAGTAGGTAAGCAATACTTAATATTTTTCAAAAATTTGTTACAAGGTTTAATACTTATTAAAGCACATTCAAATTTTAGCACATTACAAATTTTTAACAGAGAAGTGCATTGATGAATTGGTACAAGCACAATATATGCAATAAAAAGCAAAATAAGGAAACTTCAATTGGTGCCATCATAATTCAGTGCAATAATAAAAGCGTGAATAGGGCTGAAAGAGTATATATGACTACCACTAAAATATATACATTTACAGAGACTATATCAATTAGGGAAACAGGACAGGTAGACACTTAAAGTCTTGGGCAAGAATGGAAAGCATAACACAGATGTTTGTTGATAGCCTTAAACGAGATCATGGAAGGTTTTCATGGTATATCTCCCGTAATTTATTAGAACCTTTACTTTGTTTTTACATTTGGAAGACTGAACTGCCTGACATCACAAAGAATAGTGATATTATGCCTTGACATGTACTGTTATTACTAAATTCTCTGATGTACCCAAACACTAATTGTTCCATATTCATGTATAATACATAATAAATCGTGCATTGGACTGAGGGCTAGATAACAATTTACGGACTAGTCAAACGAAGAAGGTATAATGGACTGAGGTGGACTTGATGTTCCTATTCCTGAAGAAATAATAAAGTAACTTATTTATAACTGTGAGACAGGGGAGGTCACTCTCACAAAAATTGTGTCATCACTCGAGAGTAACAGGGAGATCAATCATACAAGTTGTAATGTAATAGACAATGTGATGTTAGAATTCTCAGAATGACTGAAGCACAGGGCAGATTTGATAAAAACAGTGATTGGTGGAATTCAAAAGAACACAATGGGAACATAAAAATATGATATCAATATATGATATGATATGATATATAATATGATATATAATATTGGATCTAAAATGAGTCGTTTCAATCCCATGTCAGATATGTACAAAATGTACAAAAAAAATCCACTTTAGCAAAAGCTCTAAAAACTAGGAACCAATTTCATGAATCTCATATGAAAAGAAAATGAGTTCATTATCCTTTTTTATCACATTAAGGTCATAGGAGTGTATTGCTAAATGGAAATAGGAAGTACATCCCTAGTTGAAAATCTAATGTAGGGAGACAGTATCATAATTTCCGCATATTCTAATGTTTAATATTAAATTGATGAATCTTGTATGCTTATTATTGACAGAACAGTGTGTTCTTTCAATATTAAAGTATTGCAAAGCAATCCAGGCATTAATTCAGTTGTTTTTTAATCAATGAGTCACATGTGTCCATTTTTCTGTACTTCAGGAAACCGGCTACCTATTTCACTACTGTGAAGTTTTTCAAGAACGATAACTCTTGCGTGCAATTACTATGCGTATATGGTTTTATTATAAAATGTCAATTTTTAATCGTTTATAGATGATTCATTTTACACAATTTCAGCATTTATGAAATTGATATACATTAATGCAATACTTATCTATGTTAGTATCATTTTTATTATCATTATTTTGCCAAAAAAATGTGTTTCATTTTTTTCTTCAAAATTCAGTCCCTTTTCCATAAATTTTCATTTAAAATCCTTAAAATTCTGACAACCTATATTTTTTTTGTGGCAGAAAATTTTCTTTACTTCAAAGCAATATAACTACAAAATTTGAATAAATTCTACTGAGAAATGGCGACACAATCCTATTACCTTAATAACAATATTATGTGTGGATATTATTAAAATCTTTCCCGGCAATGCCAGTTTGAACACATTAAGGAAAAGGACAGAGGACAGACTACATTTAGATATGTGTTTATGATATAATGCACTGCTGTTTTTTTATCAATATATTTAATATAGAAAGATCTTAAGGTAGAGAATCCCAGTGTCCTGTCTTGAATTTCCGAACGAAAAAGAGTTCCAACATATATAGAATTTTCTGACTTTTATAACAGCAAAATCTATATACGAAAGCACCGACGAAAAAAATACCTGAGACTTGACACTCACACAGATCTTGCAAATATCATACCTGGCAATATTGTTCGCAAGATTTGGGATGGAACTGCCCTTCAAGTGTTCTTTTTGATAGCCTGTTTAGGGCAGGAAGCCATTTGGATACACTGCAGTAGACAAGTTCTAAATTGAGATAAGGGGATTCACGGATTCTCAAATGTCTTTGACCAGGTAGTAGACAAAGTGTAGCCAAATTGATTTGACAATTTTGTTGTTACTTTGTTCTTTTAAAACAACTTAGTGTACATACGCTTCTAATGCAGATGTCATTTGTCTGATAAAAGTGACCGAGATCCTATTGAACAAGTCACTGCGTGCCACACATAGACATTTCACTGGTTGTGCTATGTAAACCTGTATATCATTGATCTTTTCAACAATAACAAGTGTGGTCAATGAGGCTTCCCCTCGGATTCAGAACCCCATTAGGAATGACACTACCAATGGTTTTACATCTTTTTCCAGGATCAGATATAATATGACACAGAAGCAGCTTCTCATCTCTTTAGCATAACAGTCTGTGACAAAAGAATTACTGTACATTTGTTATAGTTATAGGAGGCACGGTAGTCTAGTCTACTCAGCTGTAAATGAGTTTGTGGTTGGGCAATACTGGAATTGTAGAATGCTAGCTGTGAGCGCCGAAATGGGAGCTCCGGCTGTATGCTCCCCAAGGAGTTGAGAAATGGCAGCTCCGGCTGTATGCTCCCCAGGGAGTTGAGAAATGGCAGCTCCGGCTGTATGCTCCCCAGGGAGTCGAGAAAGATATATTGGCCCTATATATAACCTAATACTTATGCTTTTTGCAACACTGAAAAAAATTCGCTATAATCTGCTTTCCTAAAATAAAGCTAAAAACCTTCATGAATTGTCTTTGAATGGCTATACAGGCCATTAACATGAAGAACAGGAAAACTACTTTTTAGGAACAGTGGAAAAGTGGTGGGACTCTCTACCCTAAAGTCCTTCCAACGATTATAATTTTGTCATGCAGCAGTCAAATGCTAGAGTACTGTTACATGTACTAGCCTAAATCTACTTTTCTGTAAAAAGAAGCATACCAAAAATAGCGGCTAGTATATGGAATAGGATACACATATGTCATATCCATGTATATACTGAGATGATATTGTTTAAAGTATGAGAATTTGTTAATTTAAAGCTATTGAATTTTGAGCAATTAAATGTAAAAAAGAGATCATTCAATTTCAACTAAATACTGTTTGGTATAGGTAGTGCTGAAAACAGTCTTTGAATATAAGCCTTGGATTCCTTATAGATAAATGGAGCTTGGAAAAAGGCTGGCCCCGAAAATGAGTATTGCATTCTTTATTCCGTCTTTGCGTATTGCAGAGTTATCTTCTCTTGTGAGCAGATAACTCTGCAATACAAAAAGACGGAATAGGAATAACATTCATACTTTCGGACAAAACATGTTTTAGAGGAAATTATCACATCCTACTTCACTGTAGCAGCCATCATTTATGAATACAAAAATACATGCATTTGTCTTTAAATTAAAAAATATACAAATTCCCAGATGATTGTCATGTTATTATCTAGGATATACTAAGATCATCGTGTTTGGTCTGATTCAACAATTCTGGCAAAAGCCGACTAATCATGCAAAGTGAGATACAGTTTCCCCCCAAAAAGCGAATCTTTTACACGTATCAATTTTCACTTTAACTGAAAAATTTAAATATCTATATTGCATTACAGTTATTTTTCACTGCAAATATACAAGTTATGGAGTAAAAATATCAGCTTTTGCACTGTTTTTCTTAATTAGGAAAGGATTTACGTGATACATAAATGTATATGTATTTGATATGCAAATATTTGTTGACTACAAGGTAAATGAACAGTCATTTATACACAAATAGAATATCATTAACATATCATTAATATTACATTCATAAATCAATAACATCTCATTGAAAACAAATATAATATAGAAAGACAACATGACAAAAACATATTTGTTCTGTTATTACATATACATAACATTAGACCCTTGAACTTTCCTTACTTTTATAATCATGAATGATACACATACAGTAAAACATGTTTATTGTGAATTCTCGCGAGCACCAAAGCTGTCCCTTTTTCTCCTGGTAAGGAATTTCTTGTAAAACAACCATTAAAACAAATTTCATCCACAGCAAATAAATTTCATATGTTATGTGGGGTCTGTTAATTTTAATAATGTTTTAATCATGTTTTACTGTTCATGCATATACCATACCGGTACCATACATAAGAGTAGTCCGAATTATTCTGACGTTTTATCGACTTTTTTTATATCGGTCTGTTAATTGACAACAGACCGATATACAAAAAGTCGATAAAACGTCAGAATAATTCGGACTTACATAAGAGTTGGTATTTTTCACTTTATTGACCTGAATTCAGGGACATTGACGGATGATCAAATCACAGCCTGGTTTTGAGATCTGCAGATCAAGACACATACTGTCCCTCCTTCCTAAGGAACTTTTCAGCATCTCTTTTACCCTGATTGAAATAAATTTGTAAGTTTTTCTGTGAGGGGGGAAACAAAGCGTGCATACCTCTCACCATATTTTTCCTATTCATCTGAAAATTTTGTTCGGCAAAATTGAAGTACCATCCTTTACCCGGCTTGTCACGAGGACAGATGTCTTGGGGTCCGCAGAAGGGAGACACAGTCAGCGTACGGCCATCTTCAAATATCACCAGGTTGTTTGTCATACCCCCATCCATGTATTTCTTATCAAAATAAGAAAAATAAATAAATATGAATAAATATAATATAAAGTTAATTTGATTAATATATACAGGATTTTTTCATGTTTGCGAGCCTCCGGCAAAACTCCAAAACGAGTATCATAAATCTAATATGAAGGGAAACGAATGAAAGATTCTTTTTATCATATAATACAAAGTAAACTGTATAATTGTGATCTGAAAGTGAAATGAATATTTTGCACTTGGCCGCCCTGAAACGATGAAAATTATATCCGCTTCACAATGACATGATGTCACATTGATTGTTCCTACTCCACTGTGACGTCATTTCCGGAGTGATATTACACAGTTACATAAACCTAATTTATGTGATGGCTTTATGACACTGCATAACACGGTATTACTATGATACAAATGAATCCCAGTGAAGCTACTATTCATGGGATAGGACTGGGACAATTAATTGACATGCTGTGACACTTACATTATTCACAGTACATGTATTGCCTTATTGTAATACAGCATACTGTATCCTATTCCACTACATATGTATAAGAAAATTACAAAAAAACTACTGTTTACATTAAAATGTGCGGGTCAGCCATTTCTTGAGTACATATTCTGATTGACATCACAGGCTGGTGGTTTCCATAAAGTTTAATAAGAATTTGACTAATGGTGTCTGAGAAGAAGTTGAAAATGTGATTGTTTATAGATGACAGCAATGAGAGGCAATCACAACATCTACGTCACCTGTGTCAGAAGTCCTGACATGTCATCCAAGGATTTACACCCGAGGTAGCTAGAGCTGAGTAGATACTGAAGTCCTAACAATCTCACCTTGCCAGAGATAACTGGACTCTGTAAAGCTGCATACAAAGGAATGTGGCAGCTGGCCATCAGGTGCTACAGGTGACAGAAACATGGATGATTATTACTGTATGATATACAAAACACTGGTCCCCATCATAATTTACCCCACATTGCTGTAAGTTCTTTTGATTATTTCACAGTGTATGTAATAGTATCATGTGGAGCAACATCACAATTCTTTCCATGTCCCACTGACGTAATGACCCTATTTATGCGTTATAGGATAGATTAAATATCAAACCTAGCAGAATCAACTGATTGCAATTTTTTTCACAAATACAAACCTACATTTGTTCACCTATCAACAAGTTAAAATGTCAATCATTTATCCTACATACAAATTATCAATCATTTATCCTACATACAAATTGTCAATCATTTATCCTACATACAAATTATCAATCATTTATCCTACATACAAATTGTCAATCATTTAACCTACATACAAATCATCAATCATTTATCCTACATACAAATTGTCAATCATTTAACCTTCATACAAATGATCAAACACAAGTTTGTCAATCATTTCACCTACAAATAATTATGTCAATCATTTATCCTACAAATAAGTTGATCAATCATTTAACCTACAAATAATTTGTCAATCATTTCACCTACAAATAAGTTTGTCAATCATTTAACCTACAAACAAGTTTGTCATTCATTCAACCTACAAACAAGTTTGTCAATCATTTAACCTACAAATAAGTCTGTCAATCATTTAACCTACAAATAAGTCTGTCAATCATTTAATCTACAAACAAGTTTGTCAATAATTTATGTTCATACAAGTTTGATCATTCAACTTCAACACAGGTTTGTCAATCATTTTACTTACATGTATACAAATTTGTAAGCCATTTTACTTACACATACCAATTTGTCTATCAAGTTACCTGTATGAGTTCCTCCCTTGAAGAATACTGGCATGCAATCTCGTTCTTTTTCGTCTGGACATTTGTTACAGACACATAGAGAGCATTAGAGCACACTTGGTGGGCGTTTGGGGGAAGGTGCTCCTCTAGAAATCCGCGCAATGGTACCAGGAGGTTAAACCCTGGCGTCATGGCTCCTAAAGGTTTCTTACGAATGTCATCCGCCAACTTCAGGGTGAAGTCAATGCAGGCCTAGAAAAAACCCATTGAATGATCAAGTACATTTCAAAGATCATAACGCTACCTCATTGCTCAACCAAAATGTGTTAGATCACCATATATTACCAGTATTTATTTGTGTTAGATCACCATATATTACCAGTATTTATATGTGTTAGATCACCATATATTACCAGTATTTATTTATGTTAGATCACCATATATTACCAGTATTTACTTGAAGATCATAGAAAATCGTAGAAGATTAAACCTTAATTGGAATCTTCATGCCTTCTTTGTTAATTTCATCATACAGATGTACCTATGTATATATTGGAAATGTGGCTTAACTTGTTGAGGGGTGTACAATTTCGCTAGCCCGACGCCCGGGGCTAGTGATTTTCACCTCTGGGCTAGTTGCTCAATGACAGTCACTGGCCCGTGGGCTAGTGGAAATACTCGGTAATAAACTTGCATTAAAAGCTTTATATTGTCTGGTAGTATTCATTTTCATTTTTTTTATTTTTCAATTGAGTTTATGAGCAATGTTTAAGTGGTAGGCAGATGAAATTTGCTCAAAATGCATAAAATTATTGAAATCTTGATCAGGAATGCATACCATGCCCTTTTATTGCAATATAAATAATGTTACATCATATATATTAAAAGTGTTCCATTTCGGGTACCCTCACCCTAGAGTTACAACACACACGTTGCTACGCCGCCGATCGTAAAAATTAAATTCATCATAGACTAATTACTCGGGCATTTTTTCAAAATTTGATTGCCACTTAGATCTTAATTTGTTCTGTAGAGGCATTAAAATCATAGCATCTACAAAATGAAGAAGTTTAAACATGTAATGCATTACTTATAAATAAATAACCTTGAATTAACCGAATATTTTAAATTAAAATTTATATCGAAAAAGTGGGGCTAATGGAAATCTTATCAGGGCTAGTGAAAAAAATCATCTGGTAGCCCTTGGGCTACCTGTTGTTTTGAATTCATTGTTGTGTTCCTAACACTGATATTTTTGATAGGGTATACATTGTACAATCAATGTGACAATTACCTCTATCTTTGTTGGATCTGACACTAATACACAGCCAACCAATGACCCTGCTGATGCTCCACACACTCGCTTCAGGCTTTTAAGGAGAGAGGGGGCGTGGTCTCTCAGACAGACTGCCACGCCCAGATGGTAGATCCCTAGGAAGCCACACCCACAAAGTGACAAGTTCATTTTCAGTATTATGCATCACCCTCTTCACTCAAATGTAGTCATCCATTCCAACATAGCACCTACAAAACAAAAGTACAGTACATTTAATTCTGGAAAAAAGGCTGATACTTGTATACTCTCATAAAAAGCAGAATTATCCCAAAAAACATTGGGATACGGGATCTGCTTGACAAAAACAACTATCCAACAATAACTTGTTTCATTACAATAAAAAAAGTGCATTCATATAGTGTAACAGTGTGATAAATGAAATTAACAAATTTTAAACACTATTTAGTAGCTAAGAGTTTTTATAGCTCACTTTTGTTTCTGGTTGCTTTTCATTGGTCAAGTTACAAAAACTGTGACTTTGTGTAAAGAATTAGTTCTATGTAATTAGCACTTTAAATTTAGAACCAATGTTATTTGTTTCATTTTAACTGTTGCTATCAGGAACAAGAGGCCCAGAGGGCCTACAGCAATAACTATTATTACATGTTAACTAAGCATATTCTTTACAGACTATATAAACATAAGCATGGAATGATATCTGTGACCTGTAAGTATACAGACTATATAAACATAATGATTTCTGTTACCTGTAAGTATACAGACTATATAAACATAATGATTTCTGTGCCCTGTAAGTATACAGACTATATAAACATAAGCATGGAATGATTTATGTGACCTGTAAGTATACAGACTATATAAACATAAGCATGGAATGATATCTTTTACCTGTAAGTATACAGACTATATAAACATAATGATTTCTGTAACCTGTAAGTATACAGACTATATAAACATAAGCATGGAATGATATCTGTGACCTGTAAGTATACAGCCTATATAAACATAATGATTTCTGTGACCTGTAAGTATACAGACTATATAAACATAAGCATGGAATGATTTCTGTGACCTGTAAGTATACAGACTATATAAACATAATGATTTCTGTGACCTGTAAGTATACAGACTATATAAACATAATGATTTCTGTGACCTGTAAGTATACAGACTATATAAACATAATGATTTCTGTGACCTGTAAGTATACAGACTATATAAACATAATGATTTCTGTGACCTGTAAGTATACAGACTATATAAACATAATGATTTCTGTGACCTGTAAGTATACAGACTATATAAACATAATGATTTCTGTGACCTGTAAGTATACAGACTATATAAACATAATGATTTCTGTGACCTGTAAGTATACAGACTATATAAACATAATGATTTCTGTGACCTGTAAGTATACAGACTATATAAACATAATGATTTCTGTGACCTGTAAGTATACAGACTATATAAACATAATGATTTCTGTGACCTGTAAGTATACAGACTATATAAACATAATGATTTCTGTGACCTGTAAGTATACAGACTATATAAACATAATGATTTCTGTGACCTGTAAGTATACAGACTATATAAACATAATGATTTCTGTGACCTGTAAGTATACAGACTATATAAACATAATGATTTCTGTGACCTGTAAGTATACAGACTATATAAACATAATGATTTCTGTGACCTGTAAGTATACAGACTATATAAACATAATGATTTCTGTGACCTGTAAGTATACAGACTATATAAACATAATGATTTCTGTGACCTGTAAGTATACAGACTATATAAACATAATGATTTCTGTGACCTGTAAGTATACAGACTATATAAACATAATGATTTCTGTGACCTGTAAGTATACAGACTATATAAACATAATGATTTCTGTGACCTGTAAGCATGTCAAAAAACTAGATGCCTGTTGTTTGTAGAACTTTGTTTACAAGAATTTAAAAAAAATACCAATTCAGTGGCCATTTTGAAAATGAGTATTAATGTGTATTTCTTGCACTTTAAAAAAAGCCATAATTTCACCTTTCTTGACACTAGATTTATCACATAAATTGTCATTGTGTCGCCATTTTTAATTGAAGCAGGTTCAATTTTGCTGTACATTTTTTTATAATGTTCAATATAAAAAGAGGCCCAGAGGGCCTGTATCGCTCACCTGAATATGTTTAAAATAATTGGTATGAAGTAGGTGCTGTAAGTACATATGAAATTTCAGAAAGATCCATCCAGTACTTGAGATATAGTGAGAACAAACTTCAAACAGAGCCCCACCCCTTGCAACCTAGGGGGGTCATACCCACCAATTATACAAAATTGAGTCCCCTTGACCCAAGGATGCTCCAGACTAAATAAGGATAAAATCCCATAAT